GCAACTCCGTGCCTTTTTATTGGAGGGTTCAGTCCATTTACATTTAGGGTTATTATTGAAATATGAGGTCTTCTTATAGCCATTTTATCTTTTGCTTTCTGGTAGCTCAGTGTTTCCATTGCTTCCTTGTCCTTGTGTTTCTGTTTTCTTTATTTTGGTTGGCTTTTGTGGGTTTTGCTTCTGGTTCTTCTTGTTTTATGTTATATACTTCAGTTCTGAATCTTTGGTGTGTGGTTACAATTACGAATATGTAAAGGATAGTTATCTATCTATCTATCTATCTATCTATCTATCTATCTATCTACAGTTGTCCATTTTCTTCTGCGCGTGCCTTATCTCCATTCCCATTTGTAAATTTGGAACTTTAATTTTTCCCCTTTTCTGTCTTCGTTATTTCAATTTGTCCCTATTTATCATGAACGTTCATTTCTATCTTGATATAACAATTATTTTCTCATTATTTAAGCTTATAATGCCCTGTTCTTAGTAAGGGTGGCACTCCTCTGCTTCTATTTGCCTGATAGTCACTTTACTCCTAATTATGTTTTTTTTTTTTTTTTTTTTGTCATTTTGTTTTAGGTGAGCTGACCCCTTTCAGTATTTCCTGTAGGGCAGGCCTCATAGCGGAGAATTTCCTCAATTTTTGTATGTCTAAAAAGGTCTTAATTTCTCCTTCATATCTAAAGGAAAGTTTAGCTGGGTATATTATTCTAGGCTGGTAGTTCCTTTCACTTAATAGTTTAAATATTTGATTCTGTTCCTTTCTGACATTTAAAATTTGCATTGAGAAGTCCAAGGATAATTTAATGGGTTTACCTTTATAAGTTATCTTTTTTTTTTTCTTCCTGGCTGTCCTGAGAATTTCGTCTTTGTCATTGATTTTTGAAACTTTTAGTACACTGTGTCTTGGTGAAAGCCTTTTTGTGTTGAAATAGTTGAGTATTCTGCTGACTTCTTGAATTCCAAGCTCCAGTTCATTCCTCAGATTTGGGAGATTCTTGTCCACTATTTTTCTGAAAATGCTTTCTTATCCCTGCTCCTTTTTCTTGCCTTCGATAATACCCATTATGCTTATGTTTCCTCTTCTGATGGTATCAGCTAGTTCTTGAATATCTCTTTCATTATTTTTCATTCTTCGGTTTCTCTCTTCTTCCTTCCGATTATTTCTAGACTGATCCTTTCCTCCATTTGGTCGACTCTATTTTCCAAGCTTGCTATTTCATTTTGCAGTTCTTGCAGTGTGGTTTATTTTTTTATTTTTATTTATTTTTTTTTTATCTCCAGAAGATCTATTCTGTTCTTTTTGATAGTTTCATTTTTTTTTTGCTCTACTCATCTAGTTGTTTTCTCAATTTCTGAAATTGTTGATATGACTCATTTCAGAACTCACTGAGTTTTTTTCAGAAATACTATCCTGAATTCTGTCATTTAAGTTGCATATTTCTATGTCTGTAAGCTTATTTTCTGGAGATAAAGGTCTGTCTTTTGCCCGCTGCAAGGGAGGTGCTATTCTTTTGGTTTCCAGTAGGTGGCGTCTACGCCTCTTGTATCCCTGCTTTATATAAAGCTTTAAAAATCTTTTTAAATTTTCTGATAGATATTTAATCATGCTCGCTACCCTCAGTTACAGTCCCTGTCAGTGTTAGCAACAATTTTGGTGGCATTTGCTCAGATTCCCCTGGGGCTCTGCAGTGTTCTGTCTTGGAGGGTATGTGGGGATGGACCCTCTGGTTGGGGGTTGGGGACTGTGGCTCAGCCTAGGTTTTGCAATCGCAGTCGGTAAAAATCAACTGTTGTTTCTCTGCTGGCCGCTTCTCTGCTTTCTGCCCTGATGACTGGGCACTGCAGCCAGCCTGCTACTGGGAGTTCACAACTTCCCCAGGCAGAGCTGTTCAGGGAACTTGCTGCACGAACTCGCTGCTCCTTCTCCCCTCCCTGTTCTCCTGCAGGGAGCTCCAGTGGCTGTGAGAGGCAGTTTCTTAATTTGTTCCAATCCAATGCTCGACACCCAGGTTTCTGACCTGTGGTAGCTCTTATGAGCAGATCCCATGCTCAGATGTGCTGGTGTGCAGTTTGGGTGTTTTTTGTTGAGTTTTAGATGTTCAGCTTATTGTTGTTTCAAGGGGAGAGATCTGGGGATGTCTCTCACTCTGCCATGTTTCCAAAGCTCTTTTATTTATTTTAAAATGGATTTGGCTAATTTAAGAAACTTGGTTTTATGTACTATTTTATTTATTTATTTTTATTTTTGCTTTTGATATTATTTTTTAACACTGCATGTTGCTCACTTTTGATATAGTTATTTTACAGAAATGTTTTGATATTTAGACCTGTGAGCTTGTTTTCTTCAGGGAATATTGGCTCTTGTGAAAGGCAATATATATCTGAGAAGATCAGATCCCAATCCATTTCAATCTCTATGATATCAGTAGTGGATATGTAAATAAAATCTAAGGTCGAGAACCTTAAACAACAGGAACCACTGTCAATCAGTCTCATCCCAAAGCAACTTCTTAGATCAGGGTTTGTGTTTTTTATCAGTAAAAGGTTCTGTCTTAAGGAACATGTTCTATATTGCTGAAAGAATTTGTGATAAATTTTTTATTAAAAATCTTTAAATTTTGTAACTTGTTAATAATAACATGTTTTTCTATTGCCATGTCAAAGGTTTTGCTTTGCTCAAAAAGCAATGTTTTTTTTTTTTTTAACTGGAATAATAAATATTTCTTCATAAAATATCTATCCATTTGCCAACTAATCTACAAAATAAAAGTAACACTTAGACCTTATTACCTAAGTGAATTATATCTTTGAGAAAAGTAGATATAATTTTGTTTTGTAAACCCTTTTAGATGTATATGTAATCTTTACATTCTCACTAACATTGTACTCTTATATCTTTTAATGGAGAAAAGGCACTTTAGATTACGTGAAGTGTATTATACTTTGAAATTCAAACCGATTGTCTAATGATATTCAAAAAGTGATTAGCCATTTACATGAAATAGAGTAGTACCTACAGCATAAAATTAAATAGGATATTAATCATGTGCTTTAGGGAATAAATTAGACAATAACCAAGGTCAGGAAAAGATGTAATATACCTATGGTTAAGCAGGATTAGATTCATTATCAGAATTCCAGCCCCATTTCTAAGGAAAAAACATTGGGTATAATTCGATCAGGTAATATGGGACCCAGCAAAATGATAGGAACTTATCACTTTATTGTTGCAGCGTATATGTAGTATGGCTTCTTTCTTCTTAAACATTTCTGCATTGAAAGCCATCTGAATCAAAAGCCTTCAAAGAAAAGTGCTCATTCCCTAGTTTCTTTCCCTTCCTTCTTCTTAATCCCTTTTTGTTCATCATGACCATTAAGTTTCTCAAAGGCACGGTGTAAATGTACAATTCAGGCTGATGATGCTTCAGCTTATAACTAACACAATTTTAAAAAAAGAGCTTGGAAACTTTTCACTTTACAAATATGACTAAATGACTCACATATTAGGGAAATATCTGCTTTTAGAATTTCTTCCTAATGTATTGTTCTAATACTAACATTCATTGTCTATCCCATCTGATCAACTTTGTTCCTATTTTTCAGATGAGGAAATTGAGAAGGAATACATTCCCTACCTAAGTAGCTTCCTTCCAAGATCCATGAAGTAAAGCATACATTTAAAACAATGAGTTTATATACAATAAAGATGAGGAGTTCTAATAAGAGTAAATAGTGGAAAAACAATATTGAAAATATACATTAGAATACAATATGCATTCTATAATGTCTCTATTGATATGCATAGCCATTTATATATTGGCATGATTTCCACTGTACTTTCAAGGATTTTTTTCCCCTCAGACATATACAATAATTATTACATGTAGTTTAATGGATTATTATGTAAGAAATTAATTTTGATTTTCTTATGTCCTTCACATGTATTTCCAGTCTGTTTTTGTAAGTATAAAAAAAAAAGTTCCCTTAGTTTGAATTGAAGTTTTACAGAAAGTGAGAATAAGGAATTGGTGTCTCTCTAATAATCTGGTTATAGCTTTGTATGATTATTTGTATTGTTTCTGGCCCTTAAGGAAAGAAAAAAGTTACTATTTATTCGGTTCTTGGTTTACTGCTCAGAAATGAAATAAAGATATTTAGAATGAAAATATTTCAAATGTTTAAGTTATACTTTTAAATGTAGTTTGTTCTGTCTGGCATAATGAATATTAACTTGAATTATGAGTATTATTTAAGTTTGATTTTATTAGGTGATCAAATCAATAAGCTCATTTTAAATAATAAATTGGTACAATTTTAGATTGTGTATAAAATAGCATAGCTTTCTGAAAAATTGTTCCCAACAGCAACTTCAAGAATTGTGATGTTGCCATAATTAGATGTACTCTATAGCTACTAGAGGCAAAAGTAGTTTTAGACTACTTTTGGTTACCAGCTAGAATATTTATAATAATCTAGAACATTAAGCGTACAATGAGAAAAAGTATGCCTTTCAAGGAGGAAAGAAAGTTTTTCACTTAACAGTGTAAAATGTCTTGACTGTGAGTTGCTGTCAGACTGATGGTATTAAGAAGGTTTCCAAAATGTTCAATCATTACATCTAATTTATGATATGCAATAAACTTCCCAGCTTTGCTAATATGTATATTGATTTTTTCATAAAGATATTTTTTAAACTTATTCATTTTAACTAGGTAATGTGCTAGATCAAACTTCTGTAATTTGTAAATATTCATCAGAATTTTCCTTCATGAATAAACTAATTTCTTTTTTTTGGCTTAAATACAAATAGCTTTTTTTAATACATCCACAAGCATTCCATATTAATTTTAAAAAGTCAGTACATACTCACTGCTATTTAAAATTAAAAGGCTATATATTACAAATTATTATTAAAGTGGCAAATTTAAAATATACAACTAAATATATCAATGCCCACAGAAGGTTTAATTGACCTTTTCTTCCTTTTTCCTCTAAAGTTATCTGGAAGTATTTTGGATGTGTATAGTGGTGAGCAGGAGATTTCACCAGTTAATATGGGCCTTACAAGTGCTTCCTGTCCAAGTAGTCTGCCATTGAAAAGAGAAACTACAGGTAATATTGCTTTTATGGTTTTATTCTTTTAAAAATCAACTACATAAGATATGACTGACATATATTACTAAGCTAAATAGAATTTTTAAAATATTTTCAAAATTGTTAGTTAAAGTGGGAGACACTTAGAGAGTAAATCCATCCTTTATTTTTTTCTATGTCAACCAAGCAGTAAGTTAATATAACTTATAGCTACACTGAATTAATACATTACTTTAGAAACTGAGCAGATACACATATATGCCTGCTCTCTCTATATATGGATGGAGGGATGGATAGATAGATTAGATAGATAGATAGATAGATAGATAGATAGATAGATAGATAGATAGATATAGATATGACAATGTAACTAAGTTCTTAAGTTCATTTTGATACAAAATAGATGCAATTTATTAACATGATTGAAAATAATAGATTAATAGATTAGAAATAATTAGCCCTCTTTGTATGTAGAATTTGATATAAAACAAAGAACTAAATATTCCCTTAGCTTGCTTTAGAAATTTAATGATACATTTAACTTTCTCAAGTGGGTAAAAACCCCTGTTTTCAGTAGTATTTTTCAAAATTGTTACAACTCAAAGGAATTATAGGGTCACTGTCAAGTTCCTTCAAAATAGAACTGAGGAAATCAGAGATCAGAGGAGTTGTTTTTCCAAAATTATACAGTTGAGTAGAGGAAGAAATGGATTAAAATAAGGATTTATAAGCCCAGTGTTAGTTCTATAGGAATAAAATAAAATTCAGTTGAAATTTTTGTAACACATTTTTAGTTTGGAGCCCAAACATTGGTCTTTAATGATTTTTACACAGTTAATATTAACATTTTTAGTAAATGCAATATGTTCATTCTTGGACTCTAATCAACTCAAAAAAGTCTGTGCAGTCAAATAATTTAGATTAAAATTAATGAATTAGTTTTGAATAAGCAAATTTAAATAAATGTATTTTTATGTTACTTATTTTAAAAACTAGATTAATTCAAGGAACACGGTGTTAATTATCTGTTGCTATCTAACAAATTACCCCAAAACAACAGCTTGAATAAACACTTATCTTATATAATCTCTATGAGTCAGGAATTCAGGAGTGACTTATAAAATTGGTTTTGGCTCAGAGTCTCTCATAAGGCTGTAGTCAAAATATTGGCCAGAGATACAGACATTTGATACTTAACAGGCTAGAAGATGTTTCCAAGGTGGTTTGCTCACAGATCTTGCAAGTTACTGCTGCTTGTTGGCAAGTGAACCATCCTTGGTTCTTCTCCAGGTGGACCTCTCCATAAGGCTGCTCATGTGTCCTCATGACCTGACTACTAGTGATCCAAGAGATACCAAAATAAAAACTGAAAATTTCTTTTATGACCTAGTCTTGGAAGCCACACTCATCATTTCCACAATATTTTATTAGTTTTATAGGTCTGCCCTATTCTATATGGGAGGGAACTATTAAGGGTGTCAATACCATAAGTGATAATCATTGTGGGCCATATTGGAAGCTATCATGCATGCTCACAACCACATAGCACATAAAGTGTCCTTTACTGGAAGTGTGAAACTGTTAGATAGGAATATCTGAGAAATGTAGTTAGTTCCCACTCCTAGCATGTAGAAATCATAATTATTTATGAAAAATATAGGTTGCAAAAATTTAGGTTAGAATAATTTTGAATAATCTCAAAATTCTGAAAATAATCATAATGATTGAGCAGTTTAATATTTGCTGTGCACTGTACCTCTTTTAATCATCACAATGATTACCAAGTAGATATTATAATATATTAATTTTATGGATGAGGAGCCATAACGCAGAGAATTTAGGTAATAGATCACATGTCTATTAAATGGAGGACGAGAATATAAATTCATGTTTTACTACTCAAAGCCTGAAAGATTTGCCATTGCCTCTTACTAATGAGTACTCTGCTCCAAATTTCTAAATATTTGCATTAAAATATTATTATGTCATTTGGAGCAAGTAGTATTGTATTTTCACCAAGTATTCCTGAATTATGTTTGTAGGAGGATGTAAAATTTAACTAAGTACTGTTTCGATTATCTTCCTTTTGATCAGAAACTGATACTCGAGCTTTGGCAAAAGAGAGACAAAAAAAGGACAACCACAACCTCAGTGAGTATATTTTCCTTTTTTTTTTTTTTGAACAAAATTAATTAATGCAAGAAGAAATGTGTGGAAGTTAAAATGTGTGGTTTTTCATTGTCACTCATAAATATTTTGAGGCCAGATGACCAAAATTAATAGCTCACTAGTTGAGCTATTTTAAGAAATTTAAACAATGTGAATTCTCAGAAAATCTATACACTTCTACAAAGTGAAACATCTCAAATTCTCTTCTAGATCACTCTCTCTAGAAGGCTGCTCATGTCAGTGATGAGTGCACTTAGTTACATTTAAACTTTATTGTGACTCATCGACTCAAAGGCTTAAAGAGATAAAAATGACTTTAGAAAATCTACACCATTTAGATAGCAAGAAACATTAACTTCAGGTTCTCATCTTTCTGTGTCAATCTGCTCCTCCCTTTCTAATGATAAGTTATCTAAAAAGTATTGCTTATGTTAGATTGCTGAATTCTGCCTGTGCAAAAAAATGTCTCTGATGCCATTCTGGGGTCAATTGAACTCTAATAACAGGTCACATGAGATGGAGAAACACAGCAAGAGAAGTAATTTAGCAGCAGTGTTGAGCTTAATAGTGTTTGGTCAAGTCTAAAGTGCTTAACTGTCTCAAGTGAGCTTGGCTAATTGAATGTGAAACCTTTTTGTTCTGGGAGCCAAATCAAAAAATGAGAGAATAATGAAATGAATGAAATGAATGAATGAATGAATGAGTGAATGAATAAAAAATAAATGAAATTAAATATTAAAACTTTAGCGCTCTAAAACAAACCAGGAATTTTCTTACATACAATTAGCTCAAATTGATTCTACATGTACCTGTGAAAGCTGCATTTGTCTGTTCATAATGCACCTGCCTTTGTCACAGAATATTCAGTTTACTGACTATATAACTCTGAAGAAAGAGCTGACACAAGGTTATAACAATTCTTAGGGCAGTTGTGGAGAGGAATATGATCTGATACCAACAGTACTTAGTGGTAGAGCGGATAAGCTTTGGTCCAGATTATGGGGCAAGTAGAACATGAGTAGGGAGGCCTAATTATTATAGAAGGAATTAATACATCAAGGAATTATTGGATTCTCACTTAGTTTTAACCTGCTTATTATTAGTATCCTTCCTTCTTTCTTCCTTCCTCTATGTCTGCAGCTTGAATAACAGTTCATTTAGTGTAAAGTATGAGAACTTGCTGATATGTCCATTAACAGTGTTTTCTAATCTAAATTCCCTTACTGAGTGATCGTGCTTTTTGGAGATATCGGTGTTAAAAAAATTAATATAACATTTTAAATATGATGAGTCTAGGACAAACCCCTAAAATTTGTGAAGATCACAGCAAGAGATCTAAGTCCCACTTACCAGATGTCTAAATATTTAAAAGTTACAATTCAAGCTAGAAAGTGCTAAAGTAAGTATGCTTTATTCATCCTATGTACTGGAAGGCCAGGCGTGACTTTAGATTTCTTAGATCCTCGGAGTTCTAAGTGAGAATATCAGGGTGGGGCAATGGCAGCCACTTCACTTCTCTCCCCACTCTGTATTACCTTCTGTGTTGCCACTGGCCTCGAACATGAATGTGAGCAACTCATCACATACATTTAAGTTTCGTACACATCTCTGTGAACAAATGCCCCTCATCCGCATCTTGGGACTAGGGGTGAGCACACTGGTGTCATGGTCGTCCCTCAGGAGGATGGACCTGGGAAGTGGCCTGCATAGGCTCTGGAAGTGGGCTCAGGGCATTTGGGAAGGTATTCCTCCTGTGAATTATCCAGAATGTAGCTTAGAAGGGCTTCCCTTGACCCTGTGACTGCCTTGCTCAGTGTGGAGAGTTGTGGTGAGAGATGGAAAAAGTGATTCCTCTTAAGTATGGGCTCAGGATAGGGCCCTCTTGCCTGAATCTAAGGACAAAAATGAATGAAATGAAAAAAACTTTGTGAAGAGTGAAACCACATATTGCATGAAATAACAGTAATTTCTTAAAATTTGTCTCCTTTACAAATAACTAGTCCTGGATATGAAAACATCGAGAAACCAAAGTTCTCATAATTAGATATTAAAAATGTATCAAGCACATTCTAAGAAAAGTAGAGTATGAATTTCCGATATTTTACATAAGGTGCATTTAAATAATAGATTTTGGAGAAATATAATAGGAAAAAACACTCCCTATTTTGAGATAAAATTGTGAATGTCCTTCATAGCTGTTCTTCATCATATTTAATAGTCTGTCTTATAGGGGAGAGTATATATGAACATAGAATTATTAATAAATTCTCATTGTGCAATATATATGTATTTATATCAGCTTTCCCTTTATTTTCTTTTAGGTTTTTTATGTAGTTTCATTTTTTTAAATTACATTTACAGTGAAAATAGGATTGAAAAAGAAAAAAATAAACTCTGTCAAGAATCAATTATATTCTAATTTTAAAGGAATTCCAATACATTATTCCTGAAAGTCAAATATCTTCATGGTAAATTGCTTTGTAGAGTAGGTTTACTCTTTGTAGTCTTTCATGACTTTCCTTGTTTCTGGTAGCAGATCTTAATTTGCAAGCATGTATTGCTTAAGCATTTCCCAAAATTTTTGACATATGATATTCTTTTTCTTCATGACCTTTTTCTTCCTTCAATCCCTGGAATGCTTTAGAAATGATATCTTTTAAAAATATTATATATATGTTGTTGTTCTTGATACAGGAGTAGAGTAGACTATAAGACTATTCTCTATAAGACTGCTTTTAGAGAAGGTTAATATAGGAAACTGTACTTTTTTGTGTATCTGATATTTATTGAACATTTATTAGATGCACAAAATTTCCATAAGCAGGGAATGAATGGAAATGCAAACAGAGAAAACAATCTCTGAATCTCTTTCGGTAGTTTTCAAGGCGTGGCCCCTAGACAAACAGCATCAGCATCACTTGGAAGCTTGTTAGAAATGCAAATTCTTGGGCCTCAACCCAGGCATACTAAAATCAAAATCTCTATATGTGGAATACATATCTATTTCAACAATCCCTCCAGGTATGTCTAATGCACAGCAAAGTTTGAAATCCACTGCTCTATATTATTAAAAAATTTTTAACTAGAAAAATATATGTAGTCTAATCAACATATATTTGTTTAGCACCGCCTATATGCCAAGCTCCTTGGGGATACAAAAATGAGGAAAAAATGGTCACTGCTCTCAAGGAGGTTATACTCTAGTTGGGCACACACACCTACTATGTGCTAAACTTTGTGTCAAAACTTCAAGGGATTATATAAGAAAAGTAAAGCATGGTGCAGACCTCAAAATCTATAATCCTTATGGACTGACAAAATGCATATGTATCAAATAATGATCGAATAGAATATACATATATATACATATTTAAGTATGAGTAATATTATAGCATAAATATTATAGCATTTCAAAGACTAAGAACATGTTTTGGAAGAAAATGTTTTTAAAACACCGTTAATAATAGAATCATAATTCTAATATTGCTATTTTCAACTTTAGAATAAAACATATTTGAACTTTTATTTTGAGTACTCTTTTGACTAAAAGAAAATTTTTTGCTCATTGATTTTTAAAAATTAATAAGAAAGTTTATAGCTGACCAAAACTGAATTGTGCTTTAATGAGAACAATAAATAATATTTCTTTTTTAATAGTTGAAAGAAGAAGAAGGTATAATATTAATTACCGAATCAAGGAGCTTGGCACTCTTATTCCAAAGTCTAATGATCCGTGAGTTCAACAGTCATTTCTATCATAATGTTATGATTTCAATAGCCCCTTTCCTCCCCCAAAATGGGTGGGAGAACGACAGGGAGAGGAGAACTAATGACTAGGAAACTAAGCAGCTTATGGTAAAGGTAAGGCTACTTCTAGACTTATTTCTAAATATCTATTCAAGACTATTTGTTATTAAGCATCGTTTGTCACTAACACTTGTCTTTTTGAGCTATAAGAAATAATTATTTCTTCTCAGTTCATAATGGGTCTTTCTGTATAACATCAGTATTGACAAATGTAGTGGGAATGTCAAATGCTGTCTATGATGCTGGTATGCTCAATTTATGGTTTTAGTGATTCTCTCAATGTAACATTTATATGTACATGAAAATTGAATTGTTGAATTTTCAGAGGTTCCAAAATTCTGGAGACATTCAAGTAAACAAATGGAATTGTAAAAACATGCTGAGTGATGCCAACTAATAATTGGTTACTTTGATGAAATTTTTAGCCAGATTTTGGTGTCATATACATACGAAATCAGTTAAACAAGATGTTTGAGGGTGTCAAGAAATAATTGATTAAATTATCAATTAAGAATGTTGAATATTTCTCAAAAATCATAAAAACATGATCTGTAGCATTAATAATGACTTGAAATATGTTTCATTCAAACTAAGAACTGACCCCTCATCTATTATTCAGAAACAATGATATTTGATAAAGTGATATTTTTGTGAAATTCAAAAATACCCTTTCCCTAAATCCAAATTTGCTAATTCATTCAGACAATTCAATAATTTGTAATAAAAGGAAATGTAATACTTATCCTCATGGGCATATTTGATAGAGAAGGCATCTAGAATAGCATGGCCTAAAGAGTGCTAAATGGAGAGTCTGCAGAGCTTAGTCTTAGTCTAGGCCCTATCAATAATGCTCAAATTTCTTAGAGTCAGTAAGCACGTAACTCTTTCTTTTAGCAGAGAAAATACCTATTTTCCTGGTATGATTTTTTTAACACTTAAAATACAAAAATGCACATTTATTTACCAATCATGTGATGTAAAGCCAAGGCCTTTTTGTTTAATTTTTCTGTCTTACTTAGCTGTACTAAAATGTATAGTCTATTTTAATGTCTTTAAAATAAAACAGAAACTTAGACAACTTAAGTATAGATGGATTTTTTAAAAATGTTTACACCCTGATTTGTTGCAGCACTTTTTTTTGCAATCCACCTTTACAGACATTTTAATTGAGTTTTTCCAAAACTTTTAATCTAACTTTCCTAAAATCAATAACTATTTTTTTATAAATCCTTTATTTTCATTCATATTTTATTAACTAATGTACTTACAATTTACTGATATTATCATAATAGTAAGTAAAAGGGCTTTAATTTAACAGCCTCTCATTAGTATATGCCACCACAGAATAACAGAAGTACCTGGGTGTATAAGAAAGCAGCCTAATAGTCTTTATTATCTACTTTGTTCTGACTATAGTCAGTGAGTGCCACAAAGAGAATGGAGAACATTAGTTTTTTCTGAAAGTAATTAAGTAAAGATCAGCTAAGAGAGCTTTTTCTATAACTGGTAAAACTAACTCACAGTACCAGGGCACAGTTATACGCAGAAAACAGATGAGACTGTAAGATTGGAATCTGGAACCTAACCGAATATCTTCAGATGTCACTATGCCTGTAAGACACCAATGGTATGACTATGCTTCTACAAAAAAAAAAAAAAAATCAAATAATATGAATGAGAACACTATGCAAATTATAAAGCTTATGTGAGAGATTATTACTCTCCATTTTTGTAGATGCTTTGGTTATAAAAACCTCTTTTCTAGTTTTAGTTCACTAAACAAAAGATGACAAACTTTTCCCAAAAAGAGTCTGATAGTAAATATTTCAAGCTTTGTGGGTCATATAGTCTCTGTTGCAATCACTCAACTTTGCAATTATAACATGAAAGAAGACGTAGACAATATGTATATGAATGAGCATAACTGTGGCCAATGAAACTTTATTGACAAAAAAGAGACTGCAGCCTATAATTTGTCTACCCTTGATCTAGAATATGGAAAATCAATTTATTACATAATATATCTGAAAGGAATTATAATTTGGAAAACTTCATTTTAAGCATTCTTAAGTATCTTTCTCTTCTTTACGGATCTCAGAAAGGGGGATTGTTGTTTATTTTAATTGTATTATATGTAGGTAAATTATATTTATTTTTTGTCTAATTGAAAACATTAATTAGTCAGATGTTGAATCTATATGTGAATCTGTCTACATACTATAGGTAGAAAATAAACTTTACTGCCAGTTGTGGCATTCAAGACATTTGGTTACTAATTCTGTTTCAATATATTTTATCCTTTGGCTTGCTGTGGCCTCAGCTGTTACTTTAGTGTCCCTTTTTAGGGCTTACCAATGTGAGTCTCATGGTTGAATCCAAAATGTAACTTCGTAAAATTGACTTCACTTGAGAAGTAAAGTATGGGCCTAAGGTGTAACCATTTACTCTATGAAATTATTTTAAATTCATTTATTGAATTTTTAGATGCTACTATGGATAATATAAAAGTTATAGAAAATGAAATTAATTGGAAAACAGTGTGGGGATAAAATAGAGGAAGCAAGTTTTACATTGAAGAAACGTTATTACCATGTTATGGCAATAATGAAGTTAAAACGGATCAAAAAAAGCAAACATGATTTCAGGTTGAGTTTAACAAGTTTCAGACTGATTTGTTGAGTAGGTGACAACAACCATTAAAACATATAAAATCAGTTTCTCTTTTAAAAAATAAGAAAATATATCAGATTGTAAAATTGTCTAGTATGGAATTTTTCAAATTGTGCCATAATCTATTAATGATCATGAAGTCAATCAAATGGGACAGATCCAGCATTTTTAAACAAAGAAGGAAGATTAGCATTAAAAAAATTTAAATTATTACATATTATGCTTAAGGATAGTAAGAACTTGTGAAAACTTTGTTATAATTTTATGACCTAAGAATTTACTGAGTCACAATAAAAAAATATATTTCTTATGGCACATGCATTTGAAAAAGTGGGAGAGCCAAAGATTTTCAGAAAGATTACTTAACTAACTGAGGAGACTTGAGGTTCTTTTTCTAAACATGACCTGCAAATAGCAGGAACCTTGGAGTGGATGACCCCTAAGGACCTTTCTAGCTCATAATTAGAACGAACTTAGGGATTGGCTTAGGAAAGAAATCAAAACTAATACCTGAAGACATTTTAAATTATATAAAGTTGCCATTTTTATTTATCAAAAATATTCAGAAATTTGTATTTCTTTACTAAGTCAAAATAGTAAGATCAGAAGGAAAAATAATATAGTGGGAGGGCAACTAAAATGGCGTAGATGATAGAGGCTCTGTTCATCCCTCTGACAACCAAATCAAAGCTGTGATGGAAACAAGGAGCAGCAGCAAGGAAAAATCTCGTAGGATCTAGATGAACAAGCCATATAACTAGGGAGAAATCCAAGAAAGCATGCTGCAACGGCAGAAGGTAGGACGGAGCAAAGATGTGGGGCTGCCCAGTCTTGAGCCGCTGAGTGAGACAGAGGCAGAGGCAGTGGCAGAAGCCTCTTAAAGGGGCTGTGAGCGGACTTTCGCAGTGACGGACTTGCTCGCTCTGAGAACTAATGCCGATTTGGCTGCGCGCAGCGGGTTCCAGGGACTTACAGGGAGATATTGTTGGATTGAGAGCCAAGGCGAGACTCCCTCAGTACAGAAGTGCTGGCAGTATCCATTGTTTCCTCTTGAGCCCTCCCCCTACCAATATGTGGGTCACAGAGCAGCCATAGCTGAGATGTCATCAAACTTGATAACAGAGGTTGCTCTGCCCAGAGGATTCCCTGAAAACTCACCTCTCCCAATTCGTGGCCCCACCCAAGCCACATCCAGGTGTATCCTCAGTGAGTCAGGTGCTCCTTGCTGAGCAGTGCCTAGACTCACACTGGAGAAAGCTGGACTTGTTTTCTGCAGTGGCTTTTTGAGGTAACTATAAGCATAGCATCTGTGGTTTGCTTCTTGAATCTTAACAGGTGGCCCCAGAGGGGCAGAGACTAGGGCTAAATTTGGCCTGTAGCTGGACTCCTCTCAGGACTGTGACACTAGACACCTATTTCACAAATCCACACTAAGACCGGGAGATTTAGGACCTTTGCTTAGTACTTAGAAAAAGATAAGGAAAGGTAGCCGGAATGGAAAGACAAAGAAGTAGAAACCATATGAGAGAACAGAACAGAGATCCAGAAATAATGGAGTCAAGTAATCTAACAGAAACAGAGTTCAAAACACTGGTTATAAAGATGCTCAATGAACTTTTGAGAAGTGTAGATAAATTCAGTGAGAACTTCAACAAAGAGATAAAAAACAAAAATGGAAAGGGAAATTAAAAAAGGGAACTAGTCTGAAATGAAGAACACATTATCTGAAATGAGAAGTATATTAAATGGAATAAACAAAGGAATAAACAAAGTGAATAAAGAAAAGGATCAAATAACCTATCTAGAGGATGGGAAAGCCAAGGACACTCAATCAGAATGGCAAGAAAAAAGATGCCAAGACTATAAAAATAATTTAAGGAGCATGTGGGACACTATTAAGGGTTGAAATATCCATCTAATTAGTGTACTTGAAGGAAAACAAGATATTGAAGAGCTGTTTGAAGAAATAATGATGTAAAACTTCCCTAACTTGGTAAAGGAAATGGACATAAAACTCCAGGAAGCTCAGAGAATTCCAAAAATCAGGAATCCAAAGAGGCCCACACCAAAACACATCATAATTAAAATACCAAAGGTTAAATACAAAGAAAGAATATTAAAAGCAGCAAGAGAAAATCAGATAGTTACTTATAAGGGAACTGATTTCTCAAAAGAAACTATGCAGGACAGAAGGGCTTGGCAAAAAATATTCAACATGATGAAAAACCAGGATCAATAACCAAGAATAATTTATCC